TGACAATCCTCAGAACTCAAAGAAAACCCATAACATAATTTTTTTTATATATATATATATATAAAGATAACCCTAACATAAATCTCCCCCCTTTTGTTGTATTTTAATGCTGAAAAATATTTGATACTTTTTGTATTGAAGAAATTGTTAAATTGTGAAAAGAAACACTTGGTAGAAAAAAGAAAGTGTTCAAAAAGAATTTGGATTTTTATTTAGGAAAAAACTAGGTTTAAGCATCTAGGAAAATGTTTAGTTACCACTGCTTTTTACCACTGCACTTTAAAAAAGGCATGCAACCAAATAACTAAACCCATTACCTTATGTATGACTGAGTTTTTATGTTATAACTACATATACACCACTAAGGTGAATGGTAGTAGATCATGTGGTGCTATCTACTGGTCATTTATTGCAAGTGCAACTAAATGTTTAATCCAAGATAGGAGATAATGCAACATTTAGAACAGCTAAAGATTTTGTAAATATTTCTAATGTAAAAAAAAAAAAAAAAAACAGGTTAAAAAAACAACAGCAACAGATATTCATAGTTTTAGCCTGGCTCTCGTTCCAGAATGTGCACCATCTGAAAAGTCTTTTAGAGTTAAATAAACAGTTTTATTTTAGTACTTAACTTGAAGATCTTATTAGGAAAAAACACATTTTTAGCATTATTTGAGCAACAAGTAAGTGTTTTTAAATTGTATAGCACAGAAGAGCCTGTGAGACAGTGGACCACTGAACCCACTCACATCAACAAGAGTGTATTGCTGCAGCGTACAGACCTGCTTTGTCATAGCTCTCATCTCATAGTGCTCATCTGGTGAACTTTAGCATCGCTCTCCCGTGCTCTAACCTTTCAAAGCACCTTAACTTGCATTTTCTGGTGATCAAATGTCTGCTTTTTAATTATTTCTGTACTACCTTAACATGTAGCTACTTACAATGAAAAAAAAAAAATAGAAAGAGAATTTTTCAAGAGATTTTTTAAAGAGATTACTTAAAAACTTGGTTAAGTGAGTCTGATGAATTTAGGATTAGTACATAGCAGAGTGGTAAGGATAATAAACAACAAAGTATGGTTTAACATTGAACATCTTATCACAAAAAAAAGGACAAGTGATGATAGTGATGTTTTAGGGGAGGGGCGGCCTAGTGGTTAGGGCATAGAGCTTGGAATCCTGAGGTTCTGAGTTTGAGCCCCACTCCCACAGATTGCCACTCTGGGTCCATGAGCAAAGCCCCTTAACCCAGGGGTCAGCAACCTGCGGCTCTGGAGCCACATGTAGTTCTTAAGCTTCTCCCTTGCGGCTTTTTCAAAAATGTATGAAAATCAAATTTTTTTGTTTGTTCCTTTGTTTGTTTTACTATGGTATGCAGGAGGTCAAATAAAAATTAACTATGTCTTCCAATGCTGTAAACATTTGTATAATAAATAGCCATAGAGATCAGTGGACATAACTTGCAATCAGCGCGGCGCGGTGCCAGGCAAACAAAGCGGAGTGCAAAGACAGATTTAAGAAG